AAATCATTATTTGAATTGATGATAAATGTGTAAATGTGTTTAGCAATTAAATTTTAAGAAAGTGGTATAAATATATTACTCTATATTATGTAACTTCAGGTTGATAAATTATAATTATACTAGTAATTTCTTTTTATCATTTCGTTTATTAGTAACTTGTATTTTAAGACAATTTGCTTGTGTTGCAACTTGAAAAAAAGTCCAACTTTTATTTTCGCACAGGGTCTACATTTTCTCGGGACCGGCCCTGCATGCACACACCCACACACGCACACACCCACACCCACACACACCCACACCCACACACCCACACACACACACACACACGCATGCATACATGCACGCACGCACGCACGCACACACACACACACACCCGCACATGCACACACCCGCACATGCACACGCGCGCGCATACACACATATTTATTACTAAAATATAGGTTGTCTTTTACAAAAGTGTAATATCTTAAGTATAGTGACTATAACAGTAATTGTACTCATAGTAATTTATGTTCAATTTTAATATTTAAGTGACCTTGATACTATATTCAGTGGCGGACCCAGAACTTTTTCTAATAGGGGATAGACTCAAATTTTGGTTTGGTTACTCCAAGTCTGCAAATTGAATATTTTTTTTCTCTAAATCCAGCCAATAGTATTTAATTCGGATCAATCTTATACATATTCTGATTCTACATTTCTACGTCTAGTTGTGTAAACATTTGGACAATTCTAAATAGGAACATTCAACTTTTTAAAAGAAAATTAAAATATACTTAATCAAGATTAGAATATGACAATATGTATATAAACTTAGTAGAACCACATTAAATTATCTTTACACCATTTCCAATTTCATACTACAATTTTAATTATGTTTTGGACTATGAAATTTAAATAATGGACCAATTTCAGTCTAAAACTAGTTAGGACAGTGTCAACCCTGCACTTTGTGCAACAAATTTACTAGTTTGGAATATAGTACTACGGCTATTTCAAAATGAAGTTCAATTTATATTTATAGTTCTTGTATTCCTCAAACTACATTGTAATTATGGATTTACATATGGAACTACTACATGTCAATACAAAAACGGGTTCAATATGAATTTAATCATTTATTATGGAAAGAATCTGTGTCACGGTTCCATTCTAATTTCTTAATGAAAAAAACTTTAATTTGGCACATATTTGACAAAGATTTATGGATCGGTGTCAAAGCTATTTGGCCACAGAATGACATATACTGATGTTAAAAGTCTCTGCCAATGAAATACTTCCACCCATTCTTAAATAAGTGCAATAGTTTTACACTTGTCAATGCATAAATTTGACCATTAATATATATAAGGGAGATTTCCCTAAATAAGACTAAATAAAATGATAATTGCAACAATATGAGTTTAATGTTTAAATCCCCAAAATATGACTAATAATTCTTCTTATTCTACCATTTCCCTTGTCCTTCATAATACAAATTTTAAAATAATCATTATAAAACATAAAAAATCAAAATAAAAAAATAAAAATTGTAAAAAGTAAATAAAAATATACAGACCTCAACCACCACCTCAGCCACCTTCCAACATCGTCACCTCCGGTCGCCGGAAAAGATTACCAAGTTGGGGAGAAATGTCATCGTGATGGCAATTTTGAAAAGAAGGCTAGATACTTTGAAATAGTAAAATGCCATCTTTGTGACATTTTCAGAGAAATGTGGCAATTTTTACATGAAGATGATATTTTTTTCCAGCGATCGGAGGTGGTGGTGCTGGGAGGTGGGGGATATGGAAGTAGTAGCCTACATATTTTTTAATATTTTTTAGGTATTTTTAGATTTTTTAAGTTTTTTTTAAAATTTTTTTATTTTTTTATTTTTTTATTTTTTATTTTTTTATTTTGTCATTAGAAGGCTATATGGCCAGTAATTGATGTGTCTCACCCGTTTGGTGGTCAGCAATTCGTATCGCTCTTTCAGAAGTGATCGTCTTTGAGTCTAGCCGTAGGGTTGATAGTGCTAATTGGTTACGGATATTTGTTTTCCTCTCTTTGAATCCTAATGATATTAATATAAACAGTTTTTCCTTTCAAAAAAAGTCTTATTTCTTTATATTTTCCCAACAAGAACCTATGTTACGGTCATCAATTGTGCTTATCAAATAGCAAAAAAAAATGTAAAGGAAAAAAACTTTCTCTTTCTAGGGTTTCGACCGCTAGAGGATTCCGTCCGCTATTGATCTCGGACGAGGAGCGGGGTTTGTTTCTTCTCTGGCAATTCTGCCGGTGTTTGAGGCATCAATCGACGAAGGCTGTAGCGACGTTGGTTCGCAGCGAGGAGATTGAAGGAGTGTTTGCGATTACTTTAAAGAAACGCTTTTTAGTTTTTGGCTTAAAAAAGTTGAAAAAAGTGTTTTCAAATGACAGCTTCTGCTTAAATTAATCACTTAAAAGCTAAAAGCTGGAAGCAGGTAGAAGGGTGCTTTAAACTGCTTCTAACTTTTTCTATTACACAAAAAGTACTTATTTTACCAAACACTACCAACTTTTACCTTTTCAGAATCACTTTTTTCTCAAACACTACCAACTTTTACTATTAATCACTTTTCCCGAAATCACTTTAAAAAATCACTTTTTTAAAGTTGAAGCAATTGCAAACACTCCCTGAGATCGCGTCAGGTTGGCTGCAACAGACTCGGGCAAGAACGAAGGTGAGCTGCGATTTGCGTAGGGGAGCGATTGCATGGAACAAGTCGTTGCTCAATATAAGAAGATGAACATTGGCGAGGACGTTGAGGAGTTGGATCTGGATGATGGCGACCTGGATGATGTACCAGCCGAGGAGACTCAGCCGACTTATCCGGTGGTGGGAGTGTTGCTCACAGACAGAAAAATCAAATTCCCAGCGCTCAAAAAGCTTGTTGTGGCATCTCTGTGGAGGCCGAGGAAGGGTGTCGCGATCAAAGAAGTCAGTGATAAGGGGTATCTCTTTACTTTTTATCATCATGTTGATATGAAACGCGTGCTTGATGATGGTTCGTGGCAGTTTGAGATGAATTTGCTGATTTTGAAAGAAATTAAGCCTAATGATATTCTGCATAAGATCTGCTTAGATGAGGCTGAGTTTTAGGTACAAATGCATAATGTCTCGTATAGCTCGATGAATTTAGGTAAAGCCAGGTTGGTGGGTAACTTTATTGAGAATTTCATTAGTTATTATGATAAACAATTTGGAGAAAAGTGGGAATCCTACCTGCGAGTGAGGGTCTGTATGAATGTGGAAAAACCTCTGAAAAAGAGCACTACATTTAAGAAAGGAGGTATCAGGCATTGAGTGGATTTTAAGTATTAGAGATTGCCCAATTTTTGTTTTGTCTGCGAAATTATAGGACTATGAAAACGCTTTGGTACCGGAAAAAAGATTTGGGGTACAACTCAGAGCAGATAGTGGGGGTGAAGCCGTGAAGACTAACCCTACATGAGGGAGTAAGTGGCTAGTGGGTGGGTCTTCAAGCTCGAGTCGGGAGCCCCAAAACAAGGAGGACAACAAATCGGACGAAAGGATGAGAGAAGGAAGGAAGGAAAACACGGTGGGATCAGTTAATAGCTCAACTAAAGATGTGGTCTTGGGAGATAATGAGAAAGTATCGGAAAGCACAAGCGCATGCGCATCTGGGAGGCGGTGGATATTGAGAACCATGTGGGGGATAATATGGCACTGGATGAGACAAAAAACGGGGAGGAGGCGGGCTTCGAGGGGTAAGTCCGCCGAAATCATCATTGCAGAGCTCAGTGCCAGGGATTTGGAAGATTGCGGTTCTTAGAAGGCTGGATGAAAACATTTACTACCTCCGTCCCACTAAGATTGGGACGAGAGAAGGTGGCACGCTTATTAAGAAAAGTAGGTTTGTGTGGTTGATATTAAATTGATAAAGTAAGAATAAAGTTAGAATGATTTAGAGCCACACAATCTTTACCAAATATGGTATGGGACAATCTTAGTGAGACTTCCCGAAAAGGTAAAATGGGACAATCATAGTGGGACGGAGGGAGTATTTTATTGGTTTTATTTGTTCTGAAGGTCTGGTTTTGTCTGTTTATGTTTGATTTTTTTTTTATTTCTTTCTGCTGTAAGACTGAATTTGGATGTGGGTAATGGAAGGACTGAGATGACCGTCTTTGACTCATTTGTGCCCATAAATGGATCAATGAGGGACGACGGTTGTCACGAATCTTTTTGTCGAATTACCTATTATCTAAATGATGTATTATCAATTTAAGCCTATTTGTTAAAAAAAAACAGGAACCTATGTTACTAATAAATCATCGCCCCAAAATTGGGGGTTTTGCAGTTGGTATACCATGGGATCATACCACGGTGAGTGGGATCATCCCACGGTGGGCATCGTGTTCCACACCCCAAAACGACGTAGTTTTGCACATTCTTTTTAAAAAAAATCATGTGAACAGTAACGCGTGTACAATGCTATTTTTTTGTCCGAGTAGCATAAATGATGTAACTCGCGTGTAAAATAATGTAACTCATGTTATCGATCAATGTAACTCAAGTTCATTCGAAGTGTAACTTGTCAAATATATAGTATAAGAAATAAAACATTGATTTCAATGTAAAGAATGGAAAAAGAGAGTCTAATTGCATAATTACTTTACATAAATCGTGAATATGTTTTGTTTTTAATATCATGTATGTTTTGTTTTTAATATCATGACCATCAAAAGGATTTTTATTGCAAATGTATTTTAATATAACTCTTGTCATTACAAATGTAACTTACGTTTATTGCAAATGTAACTTAGATGTATACATAATGTAACTTGCTGAGTCAAGTCCACATGTAACTTGCACTTTAGAAGATGTAACTCATGTACATGAAGATGTAACTCACACATAAAAAGATGTAATTCCATGTATTATCAAATGCATTTAAATAAGGAAGATAGACAAATTATCGTTTTTAATTAATTAGATTAGATGTGAAGTTTCTCATTATGTATTTTGATTTACAGAAATTTGAGGGCCTCAAATTTAGAACTATTTTCTGCTTCCTTATCTCCCTGACTAGCTATTGGGAAATGGGATTCAATGGGGCATTCAATCGTTGATCCTCATAAACTGAAGCTACAGATCGGGAACGAAAGGGGCTTACCATCACTGGGAAATACGGAGTGACCAATAAGAACAATAAGAACGACGTTCCGATCCGCTGGCTCTGTTTTTTTTTTTTTTTTTTTGTAAAACCCATCGTATGGGGATAGGCACATTTGCGGGTGACATTTTCGAGCAAAGTAAAACCCCATTTGTATGTAAATTCCCCCCTTCATTCCGATTATTTACGCGCTGGTTCCTTTTATCACCACTTTCGTATAAATTTACTGCCGCCATCTTCTCATCATTCATCAATCTCCCGCCACCTTCCTCTCCCGCCAGCTGTCAGACAGTTTCTCAATCAACCGCGAGCTTCATTGCAGCATCAGGTTTTTCTCTTCCTCTCCTGCCCCTCTTCTCCTCTATTCTCCTCCCATCTTCTCTCTGTCGTGTGGTATTTTTCATTTGTTTTCACGAGGTGTGAAATACATATCAACTTGCTGTACTATTATTGATTTAGTTGATTGGATAGATATGGATTACATATAAACTTGTTATAATATTGTTGATTCACTAGCTGTAACATTGTTGATTCACATATGGAATACATATTTACATATGAACTTGCGTGTACTTGACTGGGACGAAATATATCTGCGTGCCTTATATATATACAAATGCATATGTGATGCATACAAATTGTTTGTTAAAATCCTTGAGTATGTCTTTGTACAACAGGAATAAACAAAACAAATGGGTTCTAACAAAAAGACCCAATAAATAAATTACAGGCATGTAATTGTTGTATAGCAAAAAGCCTCTCTATACTTTAGTACAGAGGTAAGGCTGCGTACATCCGATGATGATGATGTAATTGTTTTATAGCAAAACAATGAGAATAATAATACCTGCAGCACTGCCAGCAAATTCTGGACCTGTTACTCATAACAGAAATCATATCGTCAAAATCCTGCAGCACATCCTTCGCGGATTGACATTCATTTATGAATGGTCTTGAGAGCTTTATTATAAATTGGTTCAATTTTTTAAGTCTGAGATTAGCCACTTACATCAAGATAATATATATAGGCATATAAAAATGCCATGGGGTTTTATCTTGGCAAACATATAGGTAAAAAGCTTTCAGATGTTATGCATAAGAAAATGATTTATTAGGCCATCAGAAAAGACAAGCAAGATATGCATATTCTCGTTATTTTGCCCTCATCTTTATTGAAGCTTGATCGCTCATCACTGTACCTTCTTTCTTCTTCCAACTAGCCAAACAAGGTAAATTCCGTACACAAATCTCAAATTCGATGTGTAGTATACATTCACTATGAAACAAATCAAACCGTTAATACTAATCATGCTATTTTCTATTCATTTTCCATGTACCATTATTAAATATGCTTCCCATACGTATTATGCCATAGAAACTGAACTCAATCATCAATTCTGCACACCTGCATAATCACACCTATATGTAGCCAAGTGTCCAAAAAAATGTTGAGTGAATTTATTTGAATTGCATACAAGGTGCTCGATCAATTGACCTAGCCGCATGTGCCAAGAAGTTGTTGTCTGTAATATGTACTTTTGTAAGACTAAGAGATTACATGCAATAGGGTTGCAAAAATGTTTGGGCTGTCTCTATAATCACTGGATTTGTCACCAATCATTTGAACCTTATATTAACAAATTTCATCTTTCAATTCTTTAATTTTTTGGTAAATATCTCAATTTTTTAATGTAATTTGTCTGTTTTTAGGTGTTTTTATGAAAAAGAAATCTTCATTCTTAAATAATAGGGAGCCAGAGAATTACTCTAACTTGAAGTGGATAGCTATATGAATTTTGCTCTATACAATTCACGGGTTATAAATGTTCACAAACAATAAAAGGCAGGAAGAGCGTACCGGCAAATATGGGACTCCTAGGGTGCAATACCTTCAGGTCGGTCCGAATTTTCAATTCATTTGACATCTTTTATTACCATTCACTAGTCCTCCATATTTGATATTTCCCCAATATAATGTTCTTCCACCTTGTTCCAGGAGCTGGTGTCTCGGTTCCAAAATGCATCTGATGAAGGTAATGAGTTTTGACAGATTAGAATTCCCTTTTTTTGCTTATACTTCCTTCTTTGAGAATATTACCATGAATATGAAAAAAAGATCTGCTCATTCCCTTAATATGACTACCAAGTTTTTCCCCCTATTTTGATGGTGTCTCCTATGTATACAAGGAATTATGATTACCATTTGTATTGTTTTTTCCTCTTTTTCATCTTTTTCTAAAACCACTCCTACCTCACATGTCAAGTCTTTTGTATGGTAAGAGTTCTGTTTTATTATTCAGACGTTACATGCTAAAATTTATCAGTTATATATTAGGAATTGATGAATGTTTTAGTATGTATAGGGAATTTTTTCTCTTTATATATCTGTTTAAAACAGTGATTCTTAATTTTAAAACAGTTATTATTAACTGGCAGGTTGACTTTTTCTACCCATATGCACAAAACTGACCTTTATGTGCTTGATGAATTGCTACAGTAAAGCACTAAAGCAGCCTATTAGCAAATGAATTCTAGTAAACAAACATTTTTAAAAACATTTTTCAATTTGCACTTCCAGAAGTTTCTTTGTTTGGTGTGAGAACATTAAATCGTGAGACACCATCCGCCTTATGAATAATGAATGTGGTTCAAAACATTACTAATATAGTAATATGTTTCACACTTTCACCTGGCTTTAAGATTGATTGTTTAGTCTTCTGATATGATCTTGTTATTTATTTATTTATATATTTATTTATTATTTATTACTCTATCATTATTATTACAGAAACAAAGGAGCAGGTAGTGGCTAATTTGGCAAACTTTGCGTATGATCCATTCAATTATACTTTTTTGCGCCAGGTTCGAATTCTTACATGGTCTACTTTTGGTGATCAAATAGTTATTATTTTTTGTGTATCTCATAAAATTAAATGCTGTTTTTTTAAACAGCTTAATATCATAGAGCTTTTCCTGGATTGTATAACTGAACCTAATGAGAAGCTTGTTGAATTTGGTATTGGAGGAATCTGTAATTGCTCTGCAGGTAATGATATTTGTTATGTCTTTTATCATTTTAGTTCTTTTTGCATCAGGGAAAGCTACAAACTGTTTTTTATATGGAGTATAATGTACTAAAAATGTCTTTAAAATGTTTATTTATTTATTTGGAAAATAACTCTTGCTCTACAGCTAAGGATGCCTTTGAATCTAGTGTTTTGGAGGGGAAAGCTTTAAATAGTCCAGTCGATATCTTCAGTAGAAAAAATGTCTAGAACAAATAAAAGGTGATTGAATTGCTATAGAATCACCTATTATGTCAATCTTATACTCCATGATTGTTTTGTCAAATATATACCAAGGTATAGAGACCCCCCCAAAGCTATCTACTCCATCCAAACACACCCTTAGGGTCTGCTTGGGAATTGTATGGAAGGTTTTGGAGGGGAAGACGTCGGTGGGGTTAATCTGTAAATCTATAAATGTATGGATGCAACATTTCTAAAACATGATTAAAGGGTCATTGAAATATTATATGATCACCTATTATGTTATTCCTCCAGTATTTATAATATCTCAAACATATATCAAGATGTAGACGTAGACCTCCAAAACCTTCCAATACTCTTTCCCCGAACTGATCCTAATAGGTAACTCTTTGAGTGTGCACATCTCATGTGCTGCAGTTTTTTTTACACAGATCCAGCAAATGCTGCGCTTGTCACTCAAAGTGGTGGGATTCCGCTGGTCATACAATGCCTATCAAGTCCTGTTCGAAACACGGTAAAAAGATCATGTTTTTGTTGTTAAAATAATGGGTGTTTCTATACCACATAAAATTCTGGCAGAAAATTTTCCACTTTTGACCACACAAGAACTGAGATATTTTACTTATGTTTTTTTTATCCACTTTGGGTGTTCGTCTATGAATATCTAGCCACGTTGATCTTTCGGATCACTTATGCAAACAATTTCAGAACAAGTTTTATTGATTTCATCTGGTAAGTGTCCAAAAGGACCAAAAGTGGCTGAAAAATCATACTCTACACCAAAAGTAAAAGATTGGAAGTTTAAATGAAAAAAGGGTGTTTGCTCTTATTAATGACATGTACTTGCTCAGTTTGAAAATAATTACTCCGTTTGCTTTTGGCATGCAAATCATGAAAATGAAATTGTGGAGTTGAGATTTACTCCCTCCGGTCCCAAATAAACTTCACGCTTTCCTTTTTGGGCAGGTCCAAAATAAACTTCACACTTTTGTTATAGTCAACTTTTAAATCATCATTAACCAAACAACAAGCCAAACTGGCCTCTCACAATCATGCAAGGCCGGGACAATACCCCTTTAATAATCATAAGACCTTATAACATTAAAGACATAAGGAGTAAGGGTTCAGAAGATTATTGTCCTTAAGAATAAAGTTCGTTGCAGTCGTCTTCCCCACTGTCGCTCTCTTCTCCTTCTTCCTCCGCTGGCCCCGAGTTGATCTCCTCTCCATTTTCTGAATCCAGCGTGTCCAAACCATCATACGTATCTGACACGAGGTTGGATCTGTATTTCTTACGCAATGCCAGTTCGGATCACTTTCAGATGAGCTTGAAAAGTGAACTATGAATACTCTTAACGGAAGTGACTCGTGGTTTCCATTTGCATGTGAAGCTTCATTTTCTTCATTTACATTGAACTTACTATCGGATTCTGAGGCTGCAAGATCTTTAGGCTGTGCCGATTAGGGTTTTTAGGGGGTGATAGTTTCCGATCCATTGGCGGTGGAGGTTAGTAGAAGGATGGTGTGACGATGAAGGTGAGTAGAAGGACGGGTGACAATGGAGGCGATGAGAAGGAGGTTGGAGGCGGTGGGGGTGCGATGGAAGACACACAGACAGAGAAGAGAGAGGGAAGGTTCGAGATAGGGAGAATGGAGCGTGGTGATAGCGGAATGCCAATTAAGAAAAGGGGTGGGGTGGGCCGAAAGGGTAAATGTAAAAGGGTATAATGGACATTTCATATTTAAAACTTGTCTAAAATAGAAGTGTGAAGTTTATTTTGGACCCGCGCAAAAAGAAAAGTGTGAAGTTTATTTGGGACCGGGGGGAGTATACCTTAAGTTTCAACTTTTATCACTACCATCCATTACTTTCATGTATGCCCATTCTTCAAAAGGAACTTGCTTAAGCTCATTTTGCATTCTGACACGGCATGACTTAAGTGAGCTAATATTTTCCATCAGATGAACAAAAGAACAATTTCATTTAGAAATCAAAACCCGATTTTTTAAACAATGGTCATGCTGAAGAATTTAACCAAAAAGTTGACTCTTAAAGCGTGGACAAAGATTATTAATGAACGACCATTAGATTGTTTCTGCCTCTGTTTTTGTTTAGAAATTAATTTTAAATGAAATAATACTTTTGTTCATCTAATGGGGGAGGAGGACTCCAACTCACACAACATAATGCCAAATCAGCTAGCTAAAAGCACATGTCTTGCAGAGCAAAGGTTATTATTATATTTGATTAATGAGAGAGTATAAATATGAGTAGCATACATCATGATCGTTAGTGTTGAAGTATAGAGCCTAGTGAGGATAGCTACAAGCCTAAAATATTTATCAGTAGAAATACTGTATCAACTAATAATGAATACTCTATCCCAAATTTAGCTTCGAAAATTTATCCTCTCATTTCCTAGTAAAGGAAAGAGTTATGTGGTTGATACTATTAAACACGGAGACTCCCTGGAGCTCATATTTCACCATTTCAGAAACTTAGGCCATCATCATCATCATTACCCCAGTGCCGCAAAGGCTCCCACCTACGGTGGGGTAAGGGGAGGGTCGGATGTACGCAGTCTTAGGTGTGTGTCGTAAATTCAGAAACTTCTAGTTCCCGTTTCGGGACCGTTTCCGAAATTAAGAAGAATAGGGAAACCCGTTTCCCTAAAAAATAGTGTTTCAGATATTTAAGATTTCCATTTTTTCTTTTTGATGGGATTCTTTGTTAGAAAATAGTGTCTTTTTAAAACAACTTAGTGAACTTATATGTGATTTCTTCCAGCAACATTGTGGTATTTCATAACTCAATGGATTGCTTTTTATGTCAATTATATGTAATAAGTTTGAAATTTAAACATGTAGAATGCAATGGAAAAACATGAATGGAAATTTAGCAGACTGACTAAAACATAACGGGTTTACCCAAAAAATTATTAATTTATTATAAAAATTGTATGGTTAAACATAAATAATGAGACTACAATACAATTTCATGTTTTCAATGATCTAAAACAGAAAACATGTGCTGTATTCGCTGGAACCACCATCACTTCCATTATCATCGATATCACTACTCTTCCTGCCGGCGTCATTACCTTCTCTTCATCATCATTATCTTTCCCACTGATATCACTGCTCTTTCCATTTGCTTCACTTCTCTTCCCACTAGCTTCATTGTCTCTCTTTGGCATCGCTGTCTTTCCACCAGCATCACTTCTCTCCCCACTGGCATCACTGCCCTTTCCCACCTTTCCATGCTCTCCCCTTCGGTGTGACTTCTCTTCCCATGGTGTCACTGATTTTCCCACTGACATTCATTCAACGTCCTTCACCCAATCCTGATTTCACCAATCCATAAAAAACTGATGACAACCATGGATGGTTAAATGAGGAGGGTAATGTCTTACCATTAAGGGAGGCATGAGAAAGGGGTGACAAACTGAAGAGAGGAACAAGCTGCGGCTCTTCAGTCACAGTTCTCGATGAAGGTGAGAAGAACATATGGCCGGCCAAGTGAGTATATGATTAACATTCTGATTATTTTAATTTGGTAAGAGGGCATATTAGTCCATGGAAACAAACTATCTATTAATTAATTATTCAACCTTAACTATTAATTAATTTTTTTTGGTAAAACAACTATTAATTAATTTAGTAAGTAATACGGAGTACTAAATTAGTATTGATACGAGAAAAAAACTAATATGTTCATATGTAGAAAAAGAGGAGTACTTTACTCATATCCTAGGTAGATATCTCAAAAATGTATATGTGCATGAAAAATGTTTAGGTTGATAGCTTCCCGTTTCACGCTTCCATGCTACTTAGGTTGATACTTTTCTTCCCTTTCTAAATAAATTTCAACCAAATATTTTTACTTTCCTGATGTACATGAGTAAATACCACTCCTAATTAACAGTACATTCTCTTTGGAATATTGGCTAAAGTTTATTGTGTTTTAGATCATTTTGCCCAGGTAAAAACTGTGGTCAAAGATAAGTCTAACACTTGAGCTGGAATTTTCAAAGCATAGGCTGCATAGCTACATACAGTTTTTCATTTCATGTGATTAAAGGTTGTTTCAAGTATTGCATAATAACTGTGTACTTTACAAGCCTCTCATGCATGGTGTTACATTTTATGGACATGTAATATAAGAGCCAATTGGCAGGTATGTTATGGTCTTGGCGCATTGTATTACCTTTGCAATGAATCAAACAGGAAAGAAATCTTGAAGCCTGAAGTAGTAGATGTGATCAAAAGGTATGCTGCTGCCGGCGAAGTTAGTGCAAGTTTCAGTCATCTGGCTCAAGCTTTCTTGGATAAGTTCGTTTCAGACCTGAAATGAAATGTTCGTATATGGTAACTAAGGTGGGCGTATGAGAGTCTGTCTATACACGTTCTGCATGCTTAGAGTAACGTCTTTAAAGCATATGGGATGTGGACTAGCTTAGAGAACACTTCTGGCTGTAGATCTGGAAAAATAAAAGAATCAGACAACCTTGCTGCTAGCTTAGCTTGTCTAAAAAAGTGATGACAACGCAAGTTCAGCTTCACATTTGAATTTAGAAAACTGATTGTCCCAAAAGTGATAACGCAAATAAGAAAAACCAGGCCCTTCTTATAATAACCTAAAAGGTCAAGACCAGGCCAATTTTTTCAACTTAATCACCACAAATTTGTAGACTTTAGTAATGACAACAGAGACTTAGAAGTTTCAAGGTTACGGAGAATGAGATGCCATAGCCTGCTGGCCTTGAAAAGCTATGGGCGAAACATCAAACATGGGATAAACTTTTGGTCCGTTCAGCCCTACAAGCTAGAAACAGAGAAGTTTGAGGATAGTCAAAACTCAAAACTGGTCACTACATATATTGCAGGCACTGGGATTTATTTTTTATTTGTGGGGTCTAAGACTATAGTTAGTTGACAATTTCATAGGTGTGAGATATACTTGCAAGCTAGTTTGAGCAATGATCGAGAACGAGACCTCCTCTGGGAATAGAAAAAAAACATGCAGTTTCATCTTTGTCTTCAAACACAGTTCTCTTTTCAATATCTTTTCTTTCATTTGTATGTTTAGTGTCACTTTGAATTAGGCATGACAATGGGCCAGGTAGATGCTTCAATACTATCACCCTACCTACTTCATTGTGGGCATGTGGCAGGCCATACCGCCCCAAATGTTTTGGGGCAGGGCGATCCTTATGGGTCGAGTTATTTTGTCATGCTTACTTTGAATCATGGGCAGAAAATGAGTTGAGCCACTTATGGTTGAACTAAAAAAGTTACTTCCTCACCAGAGTTAACTTCACGCTGCCTCTTGTTTTATCTTCAGGTAACCAACATGATTAACAATTGTAAGTGTTGATAAGATTTTGGATTTCATCTTAAAAATAAACCTTATAACACGAGTGTTATAATGTATATTCTCATTGTTTAATTACATTATTTGATTTTAGTAAATATAGATATCATGTTATTATTAGTTCACTGTGATTTAAATTGTTATAGGTTGAATGTAGTGAATCCGTTTATAACATTCAGGCAATACTTATGAATAAATTATATGTTCAATTTATAATAAACACAGTGAGATAAATTAAAGGTTGAATTTATAACTCAGTCAAGAGCTTCTTGATGAAGTAGTGAATTTATTATCTTTTTCACTTGAACATAGACGCTTCGTAGATGTGTATATCACAATATTATACCAAAAATGGTAAATTTCTTGATAGTGAAGAAGTTTCATGACATCTATGAAAGAGGGTCTTTATAAAAAAAATATTACAATTGAATTTCTCAATGTGAGTCAATTAGTTTGTCGTTTTTTCTCACAAGACAGGTGCTTCTCATTACAATCTTGAGGCCCATTAATATGAACAATATAGTGGGTTCATTAATTCTGTAATTTATCAGTCCTTACACATTACCCTAGTTAGCTTTTTTCCGTTTTAAACACGTTTTAAACACGTATCGTTTTTTTATCAAAAAAACACGTTTAAAAAGGGGAGAAATGTCGGTCCGTTTAAAAAGGAAAAAAACTCCTACTTCCCGTATTTTACAAAAAACATAAACATGAATTGACCAATTGAATGAATGCACTAAATGCATAGAAGATCAACAATAGTGTAAAAGTAAAAATGAAAACGTCCTCCCCATGATCTCGTGTTTTTGTATTGTTACAATGCAATTATTAAATACTAAAATTAATTGCATGATGACTAAAGCTAGCATCCTGAAATACTAAAACTTACGTAGTAATATACTACAAGATTTCTGATGTTTTTTCAAGCTAGCATATCAAAATTAAGATTTTCTAAACCTACCGTTTTTTTAGCATAAACTTTTACACAAACAATAATAAGTGTAGCAATCACACAACTTTTGTCATATGTCATCTGTCATCTTAATGAAAATGATGAGTTTAACTTGAGTGTTATTTGATAATCATATAAAGATAATGATTTTTTGACATTATTTTTCAAAATTATGTCTTGGACTTAATTACTGTTTTTATTTTTGTCATCGACTTATGCAATTACGAACTATTCTTGTATGTAGTAATGAGATTTGCTACTTGAATATGTGTATACTTTTATTTCTTTTTTACTATATATGTTATTTTATGAAATATATCATTTAAATGTTCAAAATAATACCCGTATTTTTCGTCCGAATTTTTGTAATAGACAACATGTTATACATGTATACGTATTTACACGTTTTTTAAAAGTCAACGTTTTTTTCAACGAATTTCTGACCGTTTTTTTCATTCATGTTACCGAATAAAACACGTACGTATTAAACTTCGTTTAATACTCGTACCGTATTTAACTAACTAGGCACATTACAATCCTTAATAAAATCCAATTACCAAGTGCTCTTATTTTTAAAATTCAGAACGACATTGAATCGCTTTTCAAAATTACCAATCATCACCATGAGAAAGAGGGGTGAGTAGGGGTGGATTTGGGTCGGGTCGGGTCCGGGCCGGGCCTAGGCCCGGGCGGGCCGCCGGTTCTGAATAGTTGTGCCCGGGACTAGCCTGGGTAGCTACCGGGTCCGGTCGGGCCTCGTGCCTCTTTATATTTTTTTTTGCTTTTTCTAATTGACCCCCCCCCCCCCCGTCAAACCCCACCCCCAAACACCCAGCCCAACCCGTTGGAATAAAAAAAAACGAAAAAAAATTGATTTTGGCCCGAACCGGGCCCGTCTCCTCCTCGGGCTGGGTCAAAGCCCGGTACCCGTACCGGTAAACCGGGCCGGTCCTGGGCCCACACAGTAGCGGGCTGGGCCGGTTCATGGGCTGCTTGGCCCGACCCGAGTCCACCACTAGGGGTGAGAAAAGGCGGCTGTCTCCTAAGGTTTTCCTAGGTTGATTTTCCGGCGATGTCCTTTTGTGGCGTTTGGGTCCGACATTTTCCCTCTCCGTAGGGCTTGGGCATCGAGATCGAAGGAGGACAATTGCAGATGGAGATGGTTGGCGTTGGTAAGCAGGGGATTGGCGATCAATTTGTCACAGATGAGGATAGCCGAGCAGTGCATGGTACGGACAACGTGGAGAAACTGATCGGTCTCCCCCTGATTGGTGCTTCAACAATCGTTGCGAGGGTCAGGCCTCCTCCAGAACCCACGCCAAGGGTTGATCGACGTGTTTTGGAGTTTGCTTATAATTTACCTTTTCTGTATTTTAATTTCCAAGTTAAGACGTTTGTGTTTTGTTGTTATTTTATTTTATGCTGTAAGACTCTTGTATTAGGTTTGGGGATGAGAGGTCTGCGGTAATCATCATTGGCTTTAAGTTGCTCAATTCAGGTCTAACGAGTTAATACTGTTTTTTTACAGGTGGTTAACTCTCGGTCTCGGCCAAGGGCGGATGATTACATGTGGTTCTTTTATTATCCTGTACTCCTGCTGAATGCTATTTTTATGAATTAAGCCCTCTTGATAAAAAAATTACCAATCACCATCTATTTCAAAGTAGAGTTTGGGTAACCATGATAGTAGTTACAACACCTAGTAGAGGACTCGAGGTAAGCTAAATACTTCCCGTTCTTTTTTAGTTGCAACATTCCTTTTTCTCACGTTTGCCAACGTACAACTTCGACCATCATTATATTTAATTATGTATTAGCAAAAAATAATAAAAAATCAGATTATGAAACTTAATAATGAGAAGAATTCAACCATATTTTTCAAAAAAATAATTCACATTAATTAATAAATAAAATGTAGTCAAAGAAGAGAACATGAATAGTGTATAAATTGTCATGTTGCAACTAATGCGATGCGATAGTATAACAGTAATGTTGTATTTAAGTAATATTTCTCTTTTTTTTTTATTTTAAAATAAAAGTAACATTTCTTATTCAATTTAATTGTGTCCACTAATTAATAATATTTCGTTCATAGCGTAAATATTGTGCTTATAACTAAAAGTCATTTTAAAATAATATGTAAATCTTATTTGAAGTTTAACATATGCTATTATGCTTAACTTTCATTTATATACTTAGTTGTGTTAAGTATATAAGTTTTTTTTAATTCCTTCCCGTTTATTTTAGGAAAATGGCAAAAATGTTACGGTACCTTTACACTTCCGGAAGCTTTTTTGTTTTTAATTAATATATCTTTCTTTTATTTCTAATTCATATCCAACTATTAGGGGATGCAAAATCAAATATTGAGGTAAATATGGCATGCACAAGCCAATTTTCCCAAACAAGAACAAATTCTGATTTTTTCGAAGTTCCGAATGGTTAGAGGATTGAGGAGGAAGGTGGGAATGAAACTGGTCCTTGTGGGTGAAAACTGAGAAGTGATCTCTACATTATCCACTTTTTGGAAATAAGCAAAATCCAACAAAAAACCTCTACCATCACTCCTTTCTCATTTTCCTACCTTTAAACCTACCAATCACCTCCTAAGAGTTGATGGGATGCTATAACTTAAGATAACAGAAGGAAACATAAATAAATAAAAGCATAAAGTGCCCGAGATCAAGAAATACAAGAAGCTCTAAGACCTTCTGAAGCATTTTATTGTGATACACTCTCCTATAAACTTGGACAATAGATACAAGCTCTATTGAAGAATATGAGTAATAATAATTCAAATGGGCATGAATCAAGGAATTACTAACAAGTTATAGTGCACTCAAATGGTAATTCAAAATTCATTCACTCAGAGTTGGAGGAAAGGCTTCAGTTTGGAGCTCCTTATGTTTCAGATACTCCTCCAAAATAGTAAGCCTAGCTGTCTCAAATGCAAAGTACCCCAAAGCCGAGAAGCAAGAGCTATGAAGCACTCTTGGCCCCATTCCCCGCGTAAATCCCACCCATCCTTCTTCCTTGAGAATCTGCCTCAAGGTCACCCACACCCCGCTAACCATTGCAGCAGCAACCTTATTAGCAGCATCCCCAGGAACTTGTGTCATCAATCTAGTCTTGACCACATCCAATGGAGTTGTCAATGATGCAGATATTGCCCCAGCCAATGCCCCACAGCACACACTATGGTATGGCTCCAATCTCGTCTTTTTCGTCTTCTTCAACAAGGCGGCCTTCAAATACTCGAAAGACGAATAGTTAAGCACGCCAGCGGGTAAATTCCTCAGCAATGTGGCGCTATAACCTGCATACAATCCCATGACACCATCATTTTCCAGAATCCTTAGTAAGACTTCCCAAGACCAGCCCTTTGCCCCAGCCTGCATCCTTTGTGTGATCAATTCTTTCGGCACCATTATTGCAGAAGAGATTATATTACCCATTGCACCAGCAGTTGGTGGGATGAGTAGCGGAGGGTACTGCGGGAATTTCGATAAAACCGATTTCCCGAATTCACAAGTCCCAAAGTAGACAGAGGAAGAAAACGCTGATCCGATGACCACAACTGAAACCCCTCGGTAAAACCCTAGAATTCCACTGCTCTCGAAGGTCTTGACAATGGCATCCATGGTGCCACTGTAAATTTCCGAAGCTCCCTTCGTCTGTAGTTTGGTTTTGATGGTGTCGAGGGGGAGAAGACAGACATAAGTGAAGGCACCGGCAATGCCGCCTGCTGCGGCGCCGATTAGCGCTCTTTCGAGGACAGATAGATTCTTCAAGAGAGCTTGGACTCTAGGGGAGTGTTTGGGTGCTGATTTGAGCCAATTCTGGGGGTTAGGGTTTGGAATTTCAGGGGTTTTGAGCTGGGATTGAACGGAAAAGGAGGTTGAGGAGAACCTGAGATGGGCGTTTGTGTTGCGGCAGTGGCGGCCTGCATTATTGGCGGGGATGAGGAGCGTGTTGAGATTGGTGAAGAGAGAATTGAAGTCGGAAGAACAGTGGAACGGATCGGAAAGGAGGGGAATTGGCGAGCGGCTTCTTCGATCCTCCATAGCCATGGCTTTTCTGGA